CTGAGCAGGTACAAGGCAACTAAGGTGTCTACAACCTACTCTGTTGACTTTGCAGACAAAAGAGGATGATAAACTACTAAGATTTTTTTTCTAAGGAGAAAATGTAGTAGAGTGGAAAATAAATAAATGGATCTGACATCAATTAAAGTTGGGTTCAAATCTAACTTTGGTCACTTAATGGTTTTGTAGCTTTGGGAAAATGGCTTAACCTCTGAGCTTCAATTTGCTTATCTCAAAAACAAAGAGAACACTGCCTTATGTGATGGTATTCCATGACTGTAAAACAAGAAGAGTGCTTGACCTACAGCAGGTGCTCAGAGAATTATGATTATTAATACTATCATTGTCATCACTTACATTTTTATTTTTCCTTAATAAGTATTTTAATGCTAAAAAAAAACTCACCATAGGTCCTGTTCCCTCTGTGGGGTTTTGCAGTGTGCTACATAGAGTGTGCTAAGCGTTGGCCCTAACAGAGGAACGATAGTAATATACCAGAGACTCTTGCTTCTCCTGAAAAACACAAAAATATCCCTTTGTCCTCCCTCTCCAAGCAAGACAGACTACTGTAACCATTAGAAGCAACTCTCCCAAAATAGTACACTAGCAATCTTTGCTTCAAGCAAACAGATCACTCATTAAAATTTGTATTTCTAACCTGAAAATTTGTTTTTTCTTCAAATGGCTTTATTCCCCCCTCCTCTTTCACTGGGAATGAACTCCCAATTCTAACACTGAGTTCTTTATGAACCAGTAGTTGCTTCAAGAGTCAGGGAGCTTTCTGCCCACCATAACAATGGAAAGTTAAATGATTAATTTGCACCTCTCTAGCTATGTGAGAACAGTCCCGGCCGTGGACCCAGCTATCTGTCCAAGGCTCAAGCACAGGTAGACTGAGCTTCCTGACTTTCCTTCAGCTTGATTTGCCTCACTTCTAGCAAGAACCAGCTAGCAACTTACAGAAGGGGCAAGCAAGCTTTGTTGGCTTCCCTTGCCTGTCTTGTAATTTGGCAACACCCTCTGGGCTCTGGTGACCAGGTTCTTCTCTTCTAAATCCACAGCCCTTTCCCATTTCCACAGAACAAAAGCCTGAAATCCTCCCATAGAGCTTTAGGATGCTGATTCATTCATTTGTTCCACAAATATTTACTGAATATCTACTCTGTGCCAGGCACTGTTTTAGATGGTAAAAAAGAGAGTCCCAGGCTTTGTGGATTTTGCATTGTAATAGGGGAGAGATCCATGTAAGGGTAACTGAAACAGTTTACAATGTCTGCTACTATCAGGGTCATTTAAACTTTGAGTAAGGTATAAACCCAAGAGCCGGTTTTATGGGCAAGGTAAACTGAACAGGAGAGGAATCAGGAAGGGATGTGAGATCTGGGGAGACTGACTTCCTGTGCTTCATTTTATTTTTTTGCCTTTAATATAGAAATGGGTACTCAGCCTTCTTACTCTCAGTAAAGTAACAGGGCCCCTGTAAGGGAACTTTATTCTTTACCTTGTGCAAACAGGAGCAGGGATACCCTGAATGCGTGCATGTCAACCGCAGTGACAGTGGGGGAATGTAGTAATAATGCTTCAGGAAATGAGTTATTTAACAAAAAAACGAATGGAAGATGGGTGGTCTCAGCTCAGTGCCTTCAGGTGCAATGCCTTAATATTTTAGATCATGGGGAAGAAGAGAGCATATCTGATATGCTGTAGGCAGTACCTGCCAGCAGAAAGTCTGAGTTTCAATTCAAATATTTAATTCTGTAAGACCCACCAAAATAGATGGAGAGCATCCATTTTGGAGAGAAAAATTGTTCACGTTTTAGTATAATGTTGTGTCAGTCTTATTTGGTGCAATTTCTACACCTCAGTAGAGATAACCAAAATAACATCAAGCTAATCCCCCCCAAAGTCACATTTTTAAAATAAAAAATAGCTTAAAAATAAAAACAGCGCTGTGGTACTTCCTTTTGAAGGTTCTTTCCAGGGAAGAGAGCACAAGGGAAGTTCTGGAGTGAGGGATATATTCTAAATCTGGATGTGGGTGCTTTTTAGATAGGTGGATAAAGATGTAAAATATCATCATGCTCTCTAACTTAAGATTTGTACGTTTTTACTGTGTTTAATGTATACTCCAATGAAAAAGGGAAAAATAAGTAGAGGGCAAGTCTGAATTTCAGGCCTGCAGATGTGTGGTAAACAAGACATCATAAAGTATGGGCTCTGTGACCCATGAAGGGATTGATTAGGTCTTTACAATCTTTTCCCATTTGCTCAGCTAATGACATGATGTAGCAAACTATGAACCGTTAACTTTTCTCCTTGTATTGGTGCCCATTGGGTTCCAATACAAAACCTATCGAGAAGGGAAATTAGAAAAACAAATGAGGAAGAAGGAAAATACCAGCTGAGTTCTCAGCTGAGACAGAATTCAGAGAGAGTTTCATGCTTGTTGGGAATTTCTCTCAGTGGGGTTTTCCATACTGTTCGTAGGATCGTGAGATCTTCCACAAAGGCAGAAATAATTGTGTGTGAGACCTCTTCTCCCTAAATAAATATGAAAGGTTGACTTCACAAAAGAATCATATTCAGCAAGGCTATGATTAAGAATATTAAAACTGGGGCGCCTGGGTGGCTCAGATGGTTAAGCGTCTGCCTTCGGCTCAGGTCATGATCCCAGGGTCCTGGGATCGAGTCCCGCATCAGGCTCCCTGCTCCTTGGGAGCCTGCTTCTCCCTCTGCCCCTCTCTCTCTCTCTCTCTGTCTCTCATGAATAAATAAATAAAAAGTTTAAAAAAAAAAAAAGAATATTAAAACTGGGTTGTTCCCAATAGCAAACGAATGGTTGCATGTTTTTTAAAGCTGTATTCATTTCCACTATTATTATTTTCTAACTTCTCAAAAGTAAACTTTTCAAAATCACGATGGAATTTCCAGTTTCTGGTTTTGATTCACTTAAGTTATGCACATGACCCCTGATTGTTTTTGTCAGATGAACATATTTTTTATTTGATGAAAATATTTCCATTTTAAAAACAGAGAATAAATGGATTCTCATTGTGTTAATAACAAAACCCCTATTCACAGATCCTGCTGAGGTCTTTTCCCCCTTAACAAAGTGCCAGGTTTTAGAAAGTTTTGATTACTAGAAATTTTCATTTTGATTTTTTTACTCTGCCCCTAAAGAGTTCATGCCATTAATCTCAACAATATTGTGTTTTCCAAAAAATAAAGTATTCGTGTGGGAAAAAAATCTAGATATCTATATCTCCATTTATATCTATCTCTAAGTGAACTCTACGATTGACAAAAATTATATTTCCTGTCTAAAATGTTATTTTTAAGTCAGTTGTTTAGAACTCAGAGCTATCTTTTTTCCTTTAGAAACATGGTATTTGTGTTCTCAGAACAGCCCACAGAAGCTAGGTAATTTGTTTAGCAATGAAGGTGAAATACTGTATGTTTGTGGCATAATTTTAACAATAATAAAATAAAGCAAAGGATTACTGAGTAAGACAGAATTTTATAATTTTACCTTTCAGCTATTGTTTGAAGACAGGCATGTTTCATTACATGAAGATGGACATCTTCAAATAAATTATACTTGTCAACACAGAGAATGCTGAATAAAGAGTAAAAACAAAACATGAATCATCCAACCAAACAGAAATACTTACTTTTAACATAGTGTTGTGTTTATTTCCAAGACTGAAAACTTATTTTTACATAATTGAGATTATAATGCACTGTTTTGTATCTTGCTTTTCCCAATCATTCTTGTATTTTCACAAAAATTTGAAGACTGTCAGCATAGATTCTTCACCTAATCTGACTTCAAATCCCAAACATTTTTTTCTTTAACATAAATGTGCTACTACTTTTTGTTTTGTCTTGGCTTGCGTGGAATGTATCAAATGAAGCCAAGAAGGGAAAAGAGAAGGGAGCCAGGAGAGGAGAGCAAGAATGAGAGTTTAGGTGCCCGTGTGCAAGCACCAGAGGGTTCTATGCATGTAAAAGAGGTCTGAGAGAAAACGAACAAAATCCGGAGCAGCGAACTTTAGAGTAACAGGGATGCTAATGTTAGAGCTAAATGGCAATCGGCATCAGTTTATCCTATCCCATCCTTTGAAAAGGAGACGAATGTTTATTGAGTTTCAGATCTTGCTTAGGGGACAGAGAGTGTTTGAGGCAATAGTGGGAAAGGAACCTAGATCTGTTGATGCTCAATTTCCTTCCTTACGTACCTGAGGTCTAGAAAAATTGAAGAGGAAGAGGTGTGCCTCATCTCCTTGAGGAATAAACAAGGAAATGGCAAAAGAGATAGCAGCTCAGTCAATATCCTGATACAAGGCATGGTCAGAGCTGCCTGGAGCTCTGAAAAGTTAAGGAAAGAGGAAAGGAGGAGTGGAGTATAGCCTTTCTTTGGTGCAGAGAGGTGAAGACTATGTATAAGCTACCATCCTTAAATGATTTCTTAACTCAAGCATTACTTGCTCCAGATTTGTCAAAACTCTAGAATAAGTGCTACAATATATTGTGAACCCATCCATGTGGGTTAGCAAATGAAGAGTTAAACATCTGACCATTCGATGGAAGGAGAACCAATGCCTATCACAACCGATTACGCTTCTCACATCGTTTACTGTCCTTGAAGCGAAGTCCACCTGTCTCAAAGTATAACTCTAAAATAGTATAAGCTTTATGTCTTTTGGACATCAGTGTGGGTAAGAGCCCATTGTTGTCATATGATACCATTTCTCAGCACTCTTGTTGATTCTAAAATAAACTTGAGATCACTGAGGTGGGAGTCAGAGGCTGGAAGATGGGAACTAGAGAGTAATGACTACTTGTTCACTTGAAAAATAGAAAGCATTGCCTTGTGTGGAGCTTAGATTTCATTATTTGAATCAGTGTCACTTTGCTTAATGCCAAATGTTGATTTGTTTCTCAAGATTCAGACCTCGCAGATCTAAAGCTTGTTTTTAATTTTTTTTTTCTTTGCTAAGACTCACCTTGACCTTATCCTGTCCCATGGACTTGAAGAATTTTCCAATGGATGTCCAGACTTGTACAATGCAGCTGGAGAGTTGTAAGTCCACACTGTTGAAATGACTGTCTGCTTGTTTTAACCGATGACCTGGTTCTTTTAGTGTGTCATTAAGAAGAAAGGACCCATAAGACTCATTCTCTACCTATTACCAAACCCCAAGGCCCTAATGGAACGATAAGCAAGTGTGCATGTCTCATACACAGACAATCTTTCAAGTAAAATGCCAAATAACTCTTTCTTCCTCAAAAAACAAACCCGATTTAGTAACTTTCATTTGAAATGAAAATGTCTCCTGGGAAAATTAAGATTATTAGTCATTCAATCTCTACAATGAATCACTTTCTCATCAGAAAATTGCGTTTCTTTCTATCTTATGCTCATATAGACCATCACCCCAAAGGAATTTTGTCAGGAAGGGGACAAGATACAGGGACCTTAGCCAGAGGAGGATATGCAAGAACAGGGGGCCAGAGATGATGCGGAAAAAAAGGCATTTCCCTTAGATGGGCAGTGGATCCACAAAGGCATGGGGAAGGAAATAGAGAAATGTAATCTACTTTATCCCCTTTATGCCCTAGCCCTGATGTCACTGACATCTTTGACACATGCCATACGTTGCTGATGCCTCCAAGGTAATGGGATTTTTAGGCAAGAGACATGAACATTTTTTTGGCTTGTTCTGACACTTTCTCTGTAAAGTGCAGAGAATAATAAGCAATACTGACCTACAGGGATATTAGGAGATTTAATGAGGCAAGGGCAAGCAAATACTTTTAACTTCTTGGTTTAGAAAAATAATAAAGATAAAAAGACACATCAACTATTATTAAAAAAGAGGCAGTGACAGGGTTTCCTTCTGATCACTTAAAATCACCGTAGATTTCCCTTGAAACTCCCTACAGAAATAAACAAAATAATGAAATGTCTTTGTTTGAAGAAGTTGTCAGGGACAAAATGAGAATTTCTGATTTACAATAGGCTTTATGTATTTATTTGTTTCCCTATTACCTCTTCTCTTGAGAAGAAAGTTGAGAAAAACATTTTCTTATATAATGGTTCCTTCTTTGTGTCTCCTTTCCTGCCCCAAATTCTCTCCTGCCTCAACCCAACACTTATTTTCTCTGTAAAACAGCAAGCATAGCTGTCATCTGAGGCTCCCCCAAGACTTAAAAAACTTCAATTAGTAAATATGCTTGGTCCTTGCAGGCCCTAGAAGTAATGAAACCAAAGCAGCCGCAAAGTGTTTACCACTAACTTTGAATTATTCCTTCCTCTTTTACCCTGGTATTACTTACTTCCTCCTCCCCCATCTCCTTCCCTCGTCTGTCTGCCCCAGTCTGGTGCTTCAGGATGGCTGACAACAACTATTACTGTGGTGGCCAGTAAGAAGCTGACCAGATAAGGATATGGGGTCACAAGGATATGGGGATATGAGCTTCTCGCATCGGTTGGAGAAACCCAACAAGTACTCATATAGTGTTGCAGTGCAAGAGACAGGGCTGGCCATTCTCTTTGTGGAGCATCGATACTTATATAGGCTCCTCTTTTTAATTCCCAGCTTTTCATGTTTCATTTTTTGGCTTTGAATAGAAAAGGTGGCTCAAAGAAAGAGGAAAGTAGATTCCAATTAACTTTGTCATTGATTTCTGGGTAGCTTTGGTGAGTCACTATCTTGCAGTAAACAAGAATCTATAAACTCAATAAATATGCTGAAGTTATTGGCCCACCAAGACCTCACATAATATCCCTTGTCCTCCTCACTCTCATTTTAGAGTTCAATATCACAAAGAGGGAAGGGAGAGAAAAGACGCCTAAAGGAATAGCAGGCTTCATTTCTGGGGTACAAAAAGATCCAGAAGCACTTAACAGATAATGACCTAGTTAGCAGGAGCTTGGAAACTAAGAGCTAACTCTGGTTTACTAAACTGATAGTCTTACTTTGGATGGCTCAGGATTCATAGAACAATATGACCTTATATGATGGAGAATCTGTTTTACTTCATATTAATCATTGTGATGAGTGGGCCCAGTTAGCAAGATACTAGCACAAATGGATATTCCTGATTTGCATTATTCCACAACTTCTTTTTAGGTTGCTTGTTTACATCTCCCCCACTTGGTAAAATAACAGAGGATTGACCATAAGAACCTTAACATAAGTTTTCTTTTTTTTTAATTTAAATTTAAGTAGCCAACATATAATACATCATTACTTTTTGATATAGAGTTCATGATTCAGTAGTTGCGTATAACACCCAGTGCTCATCACATCACATGCCCTCCTTAATGCCCATCACCCAGTTACCCCATCCCCACACCCACCTCCCTTTCCGCAACCCTCAGTTTGTTTCCCAGAGTCAAGAGTCTCTCATGGTTTCTCTCCCTCTCTGATCTCTTCCCATTCAGTTTTCCCTCCCTTTCCCTATGATCCTAACATAAGCTTTCTGAAAACAAAGCTAAAATACCCTAGAAGAGGGGCCAAGTTTACGATGGAAGTGTTTTCGGCAGGACTGTGATTAATTCATTCTCATTTAATAAAAACAGAAGAATGCTTTTCATTTGAAATACTAAGACTAGTGCCATGAATTGGACTGTCTTACTGGATTGTCACAGACACAGCTCCTTCTAAAATAAAGACAACCTTCAAAGGATTTTTATGTTCATTTACTTGTTTCTTCTTCAGAAAGATTTAGTAAATTAAGAGGGCAGAAGAAAATGGACTTTATAGATTCCATTCTCCCATTACACAGAAAAAATCATTCAGAAATAGCTTGCTCTCTTCAATTTCTTTGGCTCCAGTGACATGTAGTTGTCACGATGATTGTAGCTCCTTTACTAAAAATGATCTTGAACTGATTGGGCATGTGTCTGCTTTAGATGGTTTCCTTGTTTGTTCTTTATATGGCTAGACTTTCAAGCTTTCCTGGAAAGATGCATTAAGTTTTTCACTATGATTTGTTTACTCCAGTTGGGTACACGATGAATGACCTGATATTTGAGTGGTTAAGCGACGGTCCAGTTCAAGTTGCTGAAGGACTGACCCTGCCTCAGTTTATTTTGAAAGAAGAGAAGGAACTCGGCTACTGCACAAAGCATTATAACACTGGTAAGTTTACTTTCAGCTGCTAAGCCCAAGTGGGCTCTATCTGCAGCGTGGGCTATATATCACACCACCTTGATTGCTATATCTTTACCAAGAAAATGGAGCTACAAGGCATAGACCTTGGCTCAAAACCCCCTTTACAGATAAGATGCCTGCACCCTCTGGAATAAGTCAGTGAGCACAATAGATAATTTCTCCAAAATGGAGAGAGAAGAAAAAAGATTTGGGATTCTTTTGCTGTTCCCTTGCTGACCATGTGCTGTCAAATGAGTTCGAGGAAATGTGTACAAGACCTTGTATATAGTGCAGGAAACATATAAATTCTGGCCCGTTCCCGGCATCCACTCTTGACATTGGATCCTCAGATCAGTTTGTACTCTCTGACTTAGTGGAAGAGAGGAATAACCACATAGGTCTTTGCAAACCCAGAAATACAGTTGCTGTGCTCTCCAGTCCTTGACAGTGATAAGAATTTGGATGAAAACCAGCTGGTGGGAATTCAGCTGGTCCTAAAGCCATGCACTGTCGGTAGGGCTGATAGACACACAGGACAGGGGGAGAACATGAGGAGGGAGTAACAAGTGAGCCTATGTTGTTACCTAGAAGATCATGCCTGCCCAGTAAAGTTGATGGCTTTTCCTACAAATGTCCCAGTCTTCGATACCACACAAGCTGATCATGGAGAAGCAAGCTAGACAGGATAGTTTGTTCAGTGACTGCTCCAGGTCCCTTACTAAATAGAACATTCATGAACACTTATTCCAATAGTCAATAGTGCTTCTTACGAAGTGACCAAAACCTGGTTCCAAAGTGTTTTTCCTGACCAAGAGGAATCCAACCCTATCTCTCATAATTTGTGTGGACTAAGCCAAATTACCTTCCAGGGTTCTGTCTCCAAACCAATTAAGGGGGAAGAAAAGTGGCAAGGGGCAGGAACATCTGTCTCTTAACAGTATGTTAAAAGTTTTAATATCTTTGTATACACTCTTTTTATAAGTACTGTAACACTGTAAACAGATTTTAGGAATATTCTAAATGTCCTCAAGCAACTACCCAGAAAGCTAGGAAATTGTTACAGTGACTAGATTATATGCATGTCATATACAAATATACATTTTTCTCTTATTATGGATGGCACAAAGATAGATACACAATTATCCAAATAATTTGAGGGCCCCATGTGAACTTTACTATTTTCAACTGTTACATATTATGCGTTATATATTATATGCTATATATATATACTGCAGGTTATGTATTGTATGTTATATATTACATATTATAACCTCACAAAATGTGACTATTTCTACTTGTCAGTTTCTGACTGTCTTGCAAATTCTGAAGCTCTGTCTAAATAATCAAGCTACAAGCACAGATTTAGAAAAATCATTCAGTCCAGTGACTCTTTTTTTTTTTTTTTTTCAAGTAGGCTCATGTAGGGCTTGAATTCACAACCCTGAGATCAAGACCCGAGCTGAGATCAAGAGTCAGATGCTTAACCAACTGAGCCACCCAGGCACCCTTAGTCCAGTGACTCTTAAGATCACTCATTCTCACAACTGTTAATTCCATTACTGGTTGAGTTGAAAAAGAGTTGAATTGGTTATGTAGGGTTAGCATTTTGTGCAATCTTCCAAATCCACCTGTAATACTCTTAAAAACTAAACAGTGGGAGGCTAGAATGGGAAAGATAAATTCAAATTGGATCTTAAATCATTATTTCCTTCTTTCAGGAAAGTTTACCTGCATCGAGGTTAAGTTTCACCTGGAACGCCAGATGGGATACTATTTGATCCAGATGTACATCCCCAGTCTGTTGATAGTCATTTTGTCCTGGGTCTCCTTTTGGATAAACATGGATGCAGCCCCTGCTAGGGTTGCACTCGGCATCACCACTGTCTTAACAATGACTACCCAGAGTTCAGGTTCCAGGGCATCTCTGCCAAAGGTAAGAAGTCTCCTCACTTGACAACAAGTGACAGGAGGCGGGGTGGGGGGGCAGGGAGGGGTTGTCAAAGGTCTTCTGGTCTGGAGAATTCTGTGAAGACAGAAATGTTTGCCATCCCGTGGTACTGTTGGAGGTGCAATGCAATAAGAGAATGAAGAGCTGAGTTTGAGAGAATTAGAGCTCGGAGGACATGGGGGACCTTCCTGATCAGATCAATTAGGGGAGAGGAGAATCAGGGTTGAGAGAGAAGAGGAATGAGTGAAGGCAGAAACATGGCTCAGGAATTATGTCTAAGAAGCCCTTGAGTGCTTTTGACCTCATGTTGTTCATGAGCCATGAAGCTTGCAGGAATTAGAGTAAGATTGATGCAACTTACGCTGTACTATCAAGTATTTATTGGTGAGCCTATTGTGATTCATGTGCTCAGTGAAGTCATTTACAATAATAAGTTTGAATTAAGCTCCTGGAAATTTACACAGAAAAGCCATGTCAATGAGTATATATGAGAAATAAATATAAATATTAGAGTGCAGCAAAGTAGATACACAAATCTTTGTCATTCCTTAATTTACCTTAATGGTTGACACACAATTATTTTCAAGTGACATAGTTACCTAGAGAAAGAACAGAGGAGTCTTCCAAGATGGTGAAAATTCTGACAACCATGGCAGGTGGACAGAGAAGCATGAGATGGATAACAGGTACACATAGACATTTTGTAGCACTTCAAATAATAATCCATAATGGCTGTATAATTTATTTTTATGTAAGGGCAGGCCCTCTATATTTGTAAATATTGCTTAAGCAAACAATGATAAATGTCCTGTTTGTGAAATGTCCCAGCACTCCAGAAGTGTACCTGTGTGTGCTTCCTTTTCACTGAGTACATTGAGCCTCTGGCTTCAATTTTCCAGGAGCGTGAGTTCAATTTAGTAATCACTGTACACTGTCTCATACTGGTTGGGCAGTCTCTCCAAAATCTAGTTCCAGCAAATAATTGAGGTATAATCCCCTATCTTTGCTGGCTTGAGCTTATGTTCAGTTGTGCTACATTTGACATAAGCTATGTCTAGCTTGCCTCTCCATGATCAGCTTGTGTGGTATCGAAGACTGAGAAAGGGAGAAAAAGGGATAGATCCATCTCCACTTTTTAATTTTTAATTTTCTAGAATAACAAATAGTATAAAATACTTGTATTTCTATTGACATACAGATATCAGAAATACTAACAGCTTCCTTTTCATCTACATAATAACAAATCAATTTTACCTAATAAAAATTCTAATCCACAGTGTGCCCCAACCCAAACAGGTTCATTTGCTTATGACTTGTTAGTTATTAGGTCTAGCCATCACTGCATGCCATGCCATTAAACCTCAGGATGCACAAGACATGTAGTTTACAATTTAATAGATAGCTAAAGTATTGGTTACAAGTTGTAAGCAGATAGTGTCAAAAAAGAAGACATTTATAGCCTCCAAACTCCCATTGCTATGAAAAAGTAGTCATTTAATTTCAAAATGGAAGCTTTTGTTTTTCTAAATTTGTTATTCATTCTTATTAGCTATTATGATTCTACATCAAAGGTCAAAACTATTGCTAAATCAATGGTCACTGATCAGTGATCTTTGTCTGCAGAGGCAATCAGAAACTCAGATAAACTAAAAGATAGTATATTCAAAAGTCATTTTATACTTGGCTCTGAACTCATAGTGGTTATCCTTTAGCCATCAGTAGGTTTATCTTCCTACATATGTTCTTCTTGGGCTATTATTAAACATTGTTGGCTCTCAACTGACTGTGGGGAGATGTGACTCACATAGATTACAGTGAGAAAGGAAAATGGGATAAAAAGTGAGTCATGGAAAATAAAGAATTGACCATACACACACACACACACACACACACACACACGCACACGCACACGTACTCATTTTAATTTATAAACACTGTAGTCCCCAAGCAGATGCCCCACTATGCTGATTGTACAGTTGTTCCAGAGCCTATAGCAATACCCTTTACAGACTAGGCACGCACCTTGCACTTTCAAAATAAGACATGCTTGTTAGAGAAAAAATAGAAGATACAGAAAATATCATTAACATTAACTCTCCAGTAAGTAATTGTTGTTAAGACTTTGGTATATTTTCTTCCAGCCTTTCTTCGACGCACATTTGTAGGCAAACCCACACACATGAACACACAGAAAATTGGATCAAAACTGTCTAAAAAGACAATTATGTACTATCTGCCATTTCCATAGCATTAAAAATCTATCATGAACATACTTTGCAGTGACATAATAGCCTATCTGGCATATTAACAATCATTTATCTTACTATCTTGGATATTTAGGATTTTATTATTTGCTTTTCTAAGTGTGATCATTATAAATATATTTGTATATGAGTGCTTGTATCTCACTGTGTTCTAGAAGACATGTGTATATATTTTTTCAACCTTATTTTACAATGGAAAAAAGAAGAAATTGAGGATGATTAGAGCAAATGAGGGACAATCTGTAGGAAAATGCCCAATATCTTCCATTCAGGCAAAAATTTTGTCTTGTTCATCATGTTAACTTCAGCACCTAGTACAGTGTGTGACTTACACTAAATGATCAATAAATCCTCATTGAATGGATAAAGAAGTTAATGAACAACCATGTTTCCCCTTGTGAAACCATGTAGAAGATACACTTAACACAGACTCTATGCATAAATGTTTTACAGAAAATATTAGAGTTCTAATATATGGAAGAATCTCATAATAATATGACATATACCACAGAGGAATGGAATTTCTCTAAAGGACTATGTTTCCCTTTTCAGAAGTTCTCAAGTAGACTTTGGGAAGTTAAGAATATATCCACAAATACATATTTTGAAATACAGGCAGGCCTCCCAGATCTAAATCTTAAAGACTTCTTTTCACTTAACCTCTCCAAGCCTGTTTCCTCATTTCTAAAATGAGAATAACCTTATCTACTCCTTTTAAAAACTGAACTAGGATGAGATGAGGTATTACTTATATAAATCATTTAGCCCAGTTTCTGTACATGGTAGGCACTCAATTCATTCTCGTTATTTTAATTATTTTTCCCTGTCCATAAGATTAGTAATATTAGAAGACTCATAAATGGCCTTATGAGTAGAAGATACCATGTTCTTCAGATGGCCCATTATTTGGTTAGAATCATGATGCCAATAGATGAGCCAATGTCTGTTATATGCATGTGTGTGTGTATACACCCACGTATGTGTTTTTCATAGGTAGGCAATTTATTGAATGGGTTAAGCTCTAGAGCGTCTGAGTAAGCAATGGCTCTGTTTTTCTCTAATCACTGCCATTAAACATCCTCAGTTGGTTCTATTTTCCCTGTCCCTGGAGGACACTTCAGAAAGATTCCATAGGTTCTCAGTTACTATATGCCATGCCATTAGACCGAGAATGAACAAACATGTGTTTTACAATTTAATAGACAGCTAAAGTATTGGTGATAAATACTTTACAACAGTCCTTTTTTTTTTTTTTTAATTTATTTGACAGAGAGAGACACACGGAGAGAGAGGGAACACAAGCAGGGGGAGTGGGAGAGGGAGAAGCAGGCTTCCCGTGGAGCAGAGAGCCTGATGCGGGGCTCGATCCCAGGACCCTGGAATCATGACCTGAGCCGAAGGCACACGCTTAACGACTGAGCCACCCAGGCTCCCCTTTAGCACAGTCCATTATCAGGTTTTTAAAAAATCAGCTAGCTTGAAATAAAACTTCAGTCTCACAACCAATTCAATGCTCTTTCCCTCCCTTGCCCCCAGCCCAGGCCTAACCTTTGGCTTGAAGATGTCCGGCGAGGTGGACATGTTGTCTGTTCTTACCCTTGCTTTTCAGAGCTCTTACCCTTGCTTTTCCAATTCTCTTCCCCACTCCTGTTGCTTGCTTCTCTACTATTGAGGGCTGAGGGTGAAAGAGTGGTTGGAAGAAAGTTGTACAAGACTAACACTATTGTATTTGAACTCTTGCCTTCTCTAATGGCAGGCCTCCAAATACTGGATTTTTTGATGGTTGAACTTGAGTTCCTCGATAATTCCTGGGGATCCTACACATTACACCATTCCTGGATGAATAATGCAATCTCTGGCTGGTGTCTTATAATTTCCTCTTATCTATCACTTCCTAGCAGCATATCCCATACAATTTCTTACTCCCCGGGTCTCCTTACTCAAGTAGATAGCCCTCCTGGTTGACATGTTTTGAAGATAATTCACATCTATCTTCCACACCATTTATTTGGCCCACCAAGAATATGTGTTCATTGCCTTGCTAAATAGTGGAAATGCAACTTAACTTGTTAACGCATCTGCTTTTACCCTACCATCTTGGGTATTCTAGCTAACCTACTGCCTTCAGAATTTATCCAGGTAAGAAACAAGTATTGGTGTTCATTTTTTAGTACAAAACCCAAACTACTGAGGACACATGACAAGTTCTCCCAATAACACCTTTACTCTCTCATCCAGGAGCAACCTTTTGGAATTTCAGCAGCTCAGCAGATACATGACATGTGCAGGAGATGCCAGTCTCTTCTCTTACCAGGGTGAGGGTAAACCATCTTCTCCCCATCTTTAGGAGAATAGGGTAAAGGCCACAGCACTCTCAATATCCATGAATCCCATTACTTCAATTAATTCTTTTCAAATGTCTAGTCTTCCGTAATGGTACAGGCTATGGAGTGCAATCGTCTCTAGATAGCATTTGCTTTGTTCTAGCAAGTCCTGTATCCTTCATGCATATGTGTAGAGTCTCCCTTCAGAGTGAGGTTTTAGTTGACATTCTGAGACAAGAATATCCCATTCCCATACTATTATACTTATGAATGAACATACTTAATTTTAGAGCTTTATCCCTATGAGGCAAGGACTCCATTGATGTCATCTGTTTACATATCACCACTTAGCACAACACCTGGATCATAGTAGATGCTCAGTAAAGATTGGGTTAGT